GCCCCCCCAGCCGCTCCCCTCCCCCCTCCCGCCTCCGCCTCCTGCTGCTCTGCCGCCGCCGCCGCCGCCGCCGCCGCCTGCAGCACTCGCAGCCGCTCCCGCCCAGCCCCGCGCCGCTCCAGCCAAACTTCTGCGAGCCATGTGCAGCCGCGGCGAGGAAACTTCTCTCCACCTATGGGGGCCGGAGGCTCGAGTCACAAGCCTCTTGTTTACATAAAGCCTTTCGGTAGGACGGCTCCTGGAGATGCTCGCGGTGGGGATGGAGAGCGCGGACCCCTCTGCCGGTGTCCGCTCGACAGCTCTCGCCCTGGGTCGCGATCCCCGGGCTTCCCGTGGCCGTTGAAGGTTTCCTCTTAAAACTCGGGATGGAGCGGCCTTTAGGACCAGGAGGATGTCAGCTGCCAATACGTTTCTGTCACCAGCGGTAGTGGGAAGTCATACTGAAGCAGAGATGCCTGTGAGCGCGGTGTATCGAGTTGAAGGGCCCTCCTTGCAGACCGGTTGAGTGCGGTGCGAGGTGTTTCTGTTAGGATCGAACTTGGTTATTTCAGTCTCTGGATTTTTCTGAAGCTTTGGTCCTCCCAAAATCAAAGTCTGCAAGGTGTGTTCAGAAAAATTACTCTCCTGTTTTAGTCTTTGAGATACGGATTCCGGGATTTTGTTAGATTTAAAGGTCGGTAAGATCTTTTACCAGGGAGGTCCTGAAACACGGTAACATGGCAGGGAAGTTAGAATTACCTGATGGTCGTTCCTGACATTTTTCAAGTTTACTCTTTTGTTGCCATTTTGCTAGAATTTATGTCTTTTCTTTGATAGTACAGTTTAGTCCTTTGAGGACTAGAATGTAATGATTTCTTTATTTTACACATCTAGGTTTTGAAGACTTGAGAAAGAATATGGCTTTATTCATAAGGAAATGGAGGCAGCAGTTTCCAGGTTACTCTTTGGTTTTAAAGTATGTTTACTCTTTGGTTTTGAAGTATGTTAACCTGCTTCTAAGTGTCTTGACTTGATGTTTAACCTATTTTGATTTACAGAGCCGTACCCTAGCACATAGTTAACAAATCATTTAGGGCAAGCTTACTATCTTAAGACAATTTAATATACAGAAGTGTCTCTTCTAAAAATCCCGAGTTTGATTTAGCAATCCAGTTATACCTACAGCTACTGACAACTAACACTGTCTTCTTTGAAGACAAAATAAGCAACTGTGTGACTTCAGTGGCTCAAAAGTGAATAATAGGTTCAGTTTATACCTACCTTGAACTTTTTTGTTCTTTGATCAGCTAGATAAATGACTTGTTGAGGGGCTTAATGTTTGCCTCCAAAACCAAATTCTGACCCTGATTTAAGTCTTCTAGTGCACTGTCACTAAAACATCAAAGTTGGCCTTCAGAGGGGTGTGCCAGGCTTTGGAGTTTAGGTCTGCTTCATCTTGTTAGGAAACTAAAATGATTTTGGTTGTTTTGTAGAGAATTTTAGAGATCTTTGGACCCTTAATCCTTTTGGATGTTGACATTGAAAACTCAAGTTTATAGTGCTGTTGGAGTACTCATGTGAAGAGTGAACTGATTTAAGAAAAACTAAAGGAAAAAGTGGGCAAAACTAATGCTAAACTTGAAGCCATTGGGTAGAGACTTGCCTATGTGTTTAAAGTAATTGGCCTTGAATCAAAATAACTAGGCTTATTCTTAAGACCAGGGTGTAGTTTCCTAGTGCTGTACTCTGTATAGGTTTATAGAAGCAAGCCCAGGGGTAAGCCCTGAAACTGAGTATCGTTCCTAAAGAAATTGCTGTCAAGAACATCATCGTGTTCTCTTCAAGAGTTGCTGCTCCTGGATTTAAAACTAGGATGCTTTGCTTCTAATTCTCCCTAGGCCTAGGTCGGCACACTTGAATTTTGCCAAGTATGCAGATTATTTTGGTTTTTAGTCACCATCATCAAGTAATAGTATAATAAGGAGTGCTTACATGGATTATATCTGCTTTCTACAACTTCTTGAAGTAGAAACATTTAAATGGATACGAAGCTGGGCTCGGTGGTTCAGCCTGAAATCCCGTGCTTTAGGAGGCTGAGGTGAGTGGATTGCCTGAGCCCGTGGGTTCAAGACCCGCCTGGGCAACTTGGCGAGACCTCATCTCTACAATAAGTCAAAAAAAATTAGCCGGGCGTGGTAGCATGCGCGTGTAGTTCCAGCTACTTGGAAGGCTGAGGCGGAAGGATTGCCGGAGCCCAGCAGGTCGAGCCTGTGGTGGCCGGGAGCGGCCACTGCACTCCAGTCTGGGCAACAGAGTGAGACTCTAGCTCAAAAAAAAAAAAAAATAAATAAATAAATAAATAAATGGATACGAACATCTGACATCTGCAAAGACTGAGGAGAAAACAGCCCTTTGGGAAAAGGACTAGTGTATTTCAAGATAGAGCCAAGGGAACCTGTCACTTCTCTACTGAGTCTGGTTGTTGGAGAGCCACTGGTGCTCCTAGTTAAGTAATAAGAAAAATAAAAAGTTACATCACTGTTTATCTACCAGTTTATTTTGGTATTTTGAAAATCTGGCAAATTAGGAGTTCAAAAATAGTTTCACACATTTTACTTCAAAGGAAATTACAGTGCAAATAATCAGTGGATTCATCAAAAGTTATGCATAAGTATTCTGCAAAGTCTTGTGTTGTTGCAAGTTTTGATTTGTGCACTTGTTTGTGTTCTGAAGAGGGTAGTTCCACTGAGACTTTGGACAGTGGGCAGACAACAATTAGGAATGTGTGTGCTTAGGTTGAAGGTGGAATATGCCTTAACATTGATAAGAAAAGTCATAGTAGAAAGTTAAAGTGTGGTTTGAGCCCAAAGCAGCCTTTTCATTAAATAATTTTATGAGGGATGCCCTGTTGAGTAATTTTTTAAATTAGGAAAATGATATACTTTTACAAGTTGGACATTAAAGTCTGGGGCAAATACCATGCCCTCTGTGTTGTGTATCAAGCTTAACAAATAAATCAGAAAAGATGTATTTTGAGAGTGTATTATATTTCATTGATTTGGCCATAAAGTTTATAGAAAATACTTGTTTTATAGTTGGTTGTTACTGAGACCATAGTCCCTCAAGGAATTCCCACAGGAGCCTTTTGTTTTAAACCTACTTGTTAGACTTGGGGGTTTTAATGTTTTCAACTGTGATTCTAAGAAACACATTTTAAATTGCTGCTGAGTATACACACATATGTAAAACTGAAACAATTTTTAGGAAATAGTAATTATTGTTATTACCAGTGACGTACTCTGCTATCTACTTTTCTATTTCATTGTTTAAACGTTGATAGCACTGCTTTATATTGATTTCATCAACCACAAATAGATCAGGGCCCATAGTTTGAAAGACACTAGTAAATAGCTCCCTTGCTGTTATAAATTAACCTAAAACTTAATGATTTAAAAACGTAGCCGGGCTCGGTGGCTCAGCCTGTAATCCCGCACCTTTGGAATGCTGAGGTGAGTGGATTGCCGGAGCCTGCGGGTTCGAGACCCATCTGGGCAACTTGGCGAGACCTCATCTCTACAATAAATCAAAAAATTAGCCCGGCGTGGTAGTGCGCGCCTGTAGTTCCAGCTACTTGGAAGGCTGAGGTGGAAGGATCGCCAGAGCCCAGCGAGTTGAGGCTATGGTGGCCGGGAGCAGCTACTACTGCACTCCAATCTGGGCGACAGAGTGAGACTCCAACTCAAGAAAAAAAAAAACAATAAATATGTTTATCTCATATAGTTTTTGTGGGTCAGGAATCTGGGAGTAGCTTAGCTAGGTGGTAGGTGGTTTGGTTCTGGGTCTTTCAGGAGGGTGCGGTTAAGATGTTGCCTGGGGCTAGAGGGTCTGCCTCCAAGGTGACTTTCTTTCTGGTAAATCAATGTCCTTGGCTACTGATGGCAGAAGTTCTCAGTTCTTCTCCATTGGGCTGCTTGCATATCCTTCCAACATGGTCGTGGTTAGTTACCTTCAGAGTAAGTGATCCATACTGTCACTTCTGCCATATTCTATTAAAAATCATTCACTAAGTCCAGACCAAACTT